AAGTGAAACATAAGGCATCAGCAACACTTGGATGCTCGCCTCAGTCATCTGTAATCCGTTTCAACTGGCTTTACAACTGCTTACAAGCTTTCATTTCTTTTACATACAATCTTCTCCGTGTCATCCTTTCGACGCCCAACCTGCTGCTTTTTATTCGATTCCAGAATAGAAGCTGATGTAGAGTATTACTCAGTGGTCCACTCAGAGTATACCTATCCCATCGCCATTTCTATACTCATGTTTGTTGGGCCTTAGTAATGATAAACGACCTGTACTACAGTCATAAACTCCAGTTTCTCAACCCCTAAAATTTTTGAATACTTCAAAACCAACCAAATTACATTGGCCTTCCAAGCGAATACATTTCCTCATACAAATACTTATATAATTCAGTATCTCAATATTATGTCTATTTGATACTCTTCAGTAATCCGCGAGGGGGAGTTTCAAAGAGAATTAACAGTAAAGTTATGCTAACCAGGCCATCTCAGAAACCTGCTTATGTAATAAGCGTGTTATACTAATTATAAAAAAATATTTACCTTTATTCCAAAACAGTAGTTACAGTGTCAGTGATAACAATAATAATTATGATACTAATAATCATCATAATAATGACAACAATAATTGTAATAATACTAGTAATATGAATGACGACATGCATGTCAAACATCCAAAAGACAATATCAACAATAGGGAATCCAAATCATCAGTAGTAACTCCATACAAGGAAGGAACCTCGAAAACCTTACACAGAATTCTTAACAATGCTGGCAGGAATAAAAGTGGCTGGCATTCAAAATCACTAACTCAATTAGAAACAGGCTTTGTCGGTTAAAGGATCAATCTTGTGGAGCCTTTAAAACAAAACAATTTAGTCTATCTCATACCCTGCCTGCAATCACTGTCAGGCCAAATACCTAGGTCAGAGTGGTAGAACAGGCGCTGTCAGTCAGACTAGCCGAGCATAAAACCCTAGCAAAATCCAGATTAGTTGACCCTACATGTAGATAAGAAATCTAGAGGATAGTTCAGTTATACCACCCACCACATGCACTTATACACAACCATACAAAAAGCTGGATGGCATAGGATGACAGTGTTAAAATCTTATGTAGCAGCAGAGTAGAGAGAGAGATTGATAACGGAAGATTTGTTTATCGAATCAACTGCAAACACGAGTAATAGGAATGACTCAACACCTGTCCAGTCAGATATCCGGAAAATTCTACTACCCCTGCGACGACAAATAGGAGAGGACAAAGAAAACTATAAAACTCAAGTTTCGATGTCGTGTGATTGTAATTGATGGAATGATTATGAACAATAAATTCTGTTCGAAACTGTGCCATGCAGTAAATAATACTGTTTGATCACTGTGTGACACATCTAATCAATAAGCTTAAATGGAATTACTTACTACTGCAGTGCCAAATTTTTACACAAAAATCACAGGTATACGTTACCAGGATTGATATTAGCAGCTTTCTAGTATCATTGGTAACAATTAAATCGAGAAGGTACAAAAAGTGTAAAGTTGTGACAATAATATTATTGGTTAAAACTATAATTTAGTTGAAGCAGTTTCACCATAGATTAAAATTAGGAGGGAATGAAAGAGCCAATTACTTTGCTTATTTCATATTAAGTCATAGGTTTCACAGTTAACACTGTCTGTGTCACATGGAACGCGGGTCAAATATTGTATCACTGAGTTTTTGTACTCAGTTACGCGAGCGAGCATATAAACTTCTATAACGACTTCTTTTCCTACCAGATGAGATGCATAGGGAGAGTTTTGAATAGTCAGTGTGTTCAGAGTAAGACAATATGGATTCAGACAAATTGCATATTTTTATTTTTTGATTACAGCTTGATTCCATACCGTATTTCTGGTACAGGTATGGAATTTTCAGCATGTGATATCGGTAGCCCAAATTTTGCAGGCCGACCAGGGATATTGGGTGTGCGTGGGCAGGGTATCGAACTCCGGACCATGTGCATGGTCGGCGACAATCCTAACCACTGTGCCATCGACGACATGAGTTCAAGTGTCTGTTGAATATGATAGTAACGAGATGACTTAGTGGAACACCACTTGCCCTACAACAGTCACTAATACCTTTCGCGAAATGATAAAGTCTTTTTTGATTAGCCAAGGAAAGACTTAAGGGGAGAAGTAAAGGTAAGATGAGAGGGTTGAAAAATTGCAAAAGGAGAGGTTGAATCATTTCTGATTTTATTAACTTTTCAATGCAGTAGGTTAGACGGAACATTTTCCTAGAAATCGACGGAATATGGAATGACCATTTCAGTACCCTGTATGGTACAAGCATCTTGTGAACAATTGCCTTAATACCAACAAAAATGTGAGATAGTTTTTTTCAGCTATGCAACATGCGTATATGTGGAAACTTGGGCACTGTGGTAGTAAGTAATTCCATATTAGCTTATTGATTAGATGTATCACACAGTGAGTGAAACAGTATTATTTACTGGATGACACAGTTTCGAACAAAATGTATTGTTCATAATCATTCCATCAATTACAATCACACGACATCGAAACTTGAGTTTTATAGTTTTCTTCGTTCTCTCCTATTTGTCATCGCAAGGGTAGTAGAATTTTCCGGATATCTGACTGGACAGGTGTTGAGTCATTCCTATTACTCGTGTTTGCAGTTGATTCGATAAACAAATCTTCCGTTATCAATCTCTCTCTCTACTCTGCTGCTACATAAGATTTTAACACTGTCATCCTATGCCATCCAGCTTTTTGTATGGTTGTGTATAAGTGCATGTGGTGGGTGGTATAACTGAACTATCCTCTAGATTTCTTATCTACATGTAGGGTCAACTAATCTGGATTTTGCTAGGGTTTTATGCTCGGCTAGTCTGACTGACAGCGCCTGTTCTACCACTCTGACCTAGGTATTTGGCCTGACAGTGATTGCAGGCAGGGTATGAGATAGACTAAATTGTTTTGTTTTAAAGGCTCCACAAGATTGATCCTTTAACCGACAAAGCCTGTTTCTAATTGAGTTAGTGATTTTGAATGCCAGCTACTTTTATTCCTGCCAGCATTGTTAAGAATTCTGTGTAAGGTTTTCGAGGTTCCTTCCTTGTATGGAGTTACTACTGATGATTTGGATTCCCTATTGTTGATATTGTCTTTTGGATGTTTGACATGCATGTCGTCATTCATATTACTAGTATTATTACAATTATCATTATCATTATTATTATTACTATCACTACAACTGTTATCAATATTTATTTTAATTATACATTTCCCTGAGTACCTTCTGACTAATTTATCAGAGTAATTATTAGGTTTCAAATGTCCTCTCACATGCCTCACTTCCTGTCGGAGATTTTCGTTGGCACTACTTAATTTTTGTGCTGTATCACTAAAACGTTTCAACAATCCTATTTTCACTGACATAGATCGGGTGGGATGATCGGAAGTGTAAATTTCTGTTTGAATGTGTAGGTTTCCTGTCAACACTTTACATTTAAAAGATTGTTTAGCCTTATTTTAAAGTAATTTTGTTTGATGATTCAATAGGACTTTGTGCTTCAAATATTTATTAACATTTGTACTATATACGGTTTTAATATTTATATATTTGAAGTTTGTTAAATATTAGCCTTTTCATCACTTTTCTTGAGTGTGGTATAAACATTTCTGTGTGAAGATAACTTTGATGAGGTGTAGGAAATTCTGCAATCGGCATTTGAAAGCAGTAAATTTTCGGAAGTTGATATCCGATCCTTAATGAAACCCAACCGACTATTAGTTAATATTCAATAGTTGGTACTATACTCCAATGTTATTTCGAAGATAGCTGGTTGAAATTCTGTTGGGACTTTAGTAAACTTTTAATGTAAATTACCGTTTGTATAGACGTCAGTGTTTGATAATGTTTTTATTATTTTTTATTCCTTCACATTTTCAGTGGAACATAGGGCTTCAATCTAGAGGCTTACAGTTTCAGTAGCTGTGGTGATTATTTTTTTACAGGATGGATTGCTAGCCGCATGCCCAACCTCCTCCTTTTTCTCAGCTTTATTACTGGCTTAACGAGGTAAAAGAGTGCGTCGGTGGCCGGGGATCGAACCCCGGACCATGTGCGTGTTCGGCGAGCATCCTAACCGCTGTGCCAGCGACGTACAAATGTATGATAATAGATAACGTATATTTAAAACAACGTCCAGTTAAGCGTACCAACAGAAAAGGTTATATCTTAAACAAAGTATACCATGCCAGCCTCGCTTACCGTTATCATTATCAGAGGTGAAATTATCCTGAATTTCCTTTTAAGAGCACAAGCATATTGTTACAATTAAACATAAAAGTGGAATCACAGCAAAGCGGGTACTTGGTGGTAAATATTTCATTGATGGCGAGCCGCCTAGCACGGTAGGCACACTGAAAACTTGACCGAAAGGGATTCAGTGTTCAGCAAACAAAAGACTAGATGCATGACACTGGTTAGTGTCCATTGAATCGTGATCCCGAACACCTCAGTGATAACGTCTCTAACTGCAGCATTCTGTGAGGTAGGTTCGGATCTCAGAGGGGACATGTATTCCTCCAAGATTGCGGAAACGCCTTGCTAACTGATGAGTGTCAACGGGCGTGAAATGTAGATCGAAGGCTTCCTGTCGATTGCCTCCAACCATTTAATATGGATAGCCACCTAGCATGATGGTCTCATTACAAACATGACTGGTCGTATCCAGTCTGCACCAAAGAAAGGACTAGACGCATGGCACTAGTCAGTGTATAGTATGAAAAATGACCGACGAACCACTGCGTTTAAAACCACCTAGTAATTAAATGTACAGTTGGTTATAAAACTAGACATGACTTTAGGAAAATAGGCCAAAAAAAATATTACGTGACAAATTGATGAATTAAACGAAATAATCCACGTGATTTCAATAAATTTTCTTTCTGTTGGTTTTGTACTGAACTCTATTTATTTTTCTTTTAGCACCGAATCTTTGCACTTGTTATCCAATATGTCCTGCTTATATTCATCGTAGTTGGCAATTCTAGCGTATTAATATGGACAGTGAAAAGTGTGCATAAATCCCGATTGAATAGATTCTTCATAAATCTAGCAATAGCAGGTAAGTTGCTCATCAATAAGATTGTGTTATTTGGTTTTGAGAGTTGAAATTTTGACGTTTTAATGAAGATATATTATTATTAATAATATCATTCTTGGAATCATACTCTTTCAGTAATTAGATATATATGTATATGTATATGTGGAGTTCAGTCGTAGGATAGAAGCCAACCATGCAGCAGTTCCGGGTTTGACACTCTCTCGAATCTCGCTTAGCCGACAGTAGGTCAGCAGGAGAGGAAAGCTGAGCATCAATCTAGCAACAAAAAAGAATGAAAAAGTGGCTGGATTATAAGCACCAATAATAGAGAAGGCCACTGATTGAACCGACTGTTCATATTTTAATTCCTGTTGTCTGAAAGACCCTAACATATACAGCCTACCACTGTTCTTTGACAATATGTTTTTAGTACTTTAATTTTCGTGGTATGTGAAGTCGAGTTATGAGGAACATCTCCACAACTCATCGATATGCAAACTTATTCAGTTCACAAAATACTGAAGAAGAATAAACATCCTACCCACCTCCTCTCCCCACTGAAATTTCCTGAAAGCCACCATCTATCACTCTCTATTCTTTTTTGCGTGATAACCAGCATTATAAAATCATGAACGAAGTAAATTTGAACTGGTTTTATGACATCAATTATGCAAAAGTGATAATTTTAACTTTGTTTATTCACTCTTTAGAAGTTTTAATTTTTCCGTGAATTTAACGACAAGTGTGGAAATAGTAACCTGCAAGTTTAAATTGTGTGGCTGTCAAATATCAGCTAGTTTATTCTAGTGAAACCAATATAACTTTTGGTTTCCCAGAATAATTAGCATGTCTGTTGATGATGTAATATAGCTGATGGAGAAAAGTCAAGTTCGAATTCAAAGTTCTTCTATCTACCCAATGATGTTTGACTAAAATATTAGGTAACATAAGGATTAACGTGGGAACTAATGCACAGTCGATATGAGGTCGATGAATGTGATGTTATTTACCACTTAACTTCTTGATAACCATATAAAAGCTTCAGGGAGTGGGAAGAATGTAGAGGCAGTGAGTATTGACACTGTAACTCTTGTCCATTGATTTTATTCATCAGACTGTCAAGATTTTTGTCTTATTGGCATTCTAATACGCCTAATGATAGTTTAGCATTGTAAAGGGACTCCTTAGAAGCTTTAATTTCATCGACATTCTTTATTTCTCAGAGGTGAAACAGACCCCGAAAATTTGGTTCACTTGTCTCCTTAAACCACTTTATTTTTATTAATGCCTAAAGGTCTTCAGATATACTTAAACCAATTTCTAAGTCTTTGTGTATACGCAAATAAGCGCACACCAGAATCTTCCTGTCACACATCGATAAGAGTTTGAAAATAACACTTGCACGTCTCTGAAGTTTACAATTATTTGATTTATGATCAATTGCCGTGGTCACATTTCACAACTCGCTTTGTATCATTGAATTTCATGAGTTTTCAAGTAATTTCATTAATTTTTATTTAAATTCTTTTACGTTGCAAGTGAAATACAAGGCTTCAAGCTGGAGCTTTGAAGCTTCCATAGTATAGCGAAAATATTCATTCAGACATTTATAAAACACAAAATAATTGAGCAAACAATATCCTTTCCGACAATTTCCTCTTCTGGTTCTACAATAATATATATATGTTTATATATATAGAATATTCTAGATTAGTAGTCAATAACAATACTAGTGTTTTTTAAATAATGTCGATTTGTAAAGTAAGATCACAATGGAATTACAGTTCATTAAAGATGCTTAAATTACAATAATAATAAGAATGAAGATATAATAGCAAATGGAATATCAACTAAAATTAAGAAAATTTTCACAAAAATTGAGGATCATTCAAACCTAAATGGCCAAGGTAATGATAATGTTTGAACCAGCTTCTTTTGAACGCACAAATTAGGCTTCTTAATATGAATCCCAACAGCCTCAGCAGTACTTAGCAGTCAATCTCTTGAAGCAAAATTGAGATTTGTTGGTATGCGGTAAATGACTCTGAAAGCCGCCTTGGTAACATCAATCTTGTGTTCTGAATCCACAAGATGAGAAAGAATAGCGCTACGTATATATTTTGTTTGTCCTTTACTTAACCATTGTGCAGGATGATGTTCGGAAATCTGATGACAAACACGCCTAATTGTACGGCCGATGTAACTGGTTCCACAGGAGCAGTTAAATTAGTAGATACACATGGAGGAGGTGAAATTAGGCAGTTTATCTTGTAATCTTGAACGCAAAAGAGGATTGGTTTTGAAGACACAACGTAATTCAGCAAGAGGGAATGCTTTTTTACCGCATTTCTAAGGCACTGTGCCAGTATACCGCTGATGTTATCCATTGTATTAGTTTTGTTTTTACGGGTTAGGGTTGCTAGCCTCACGCCTAAGCTTCCCTATCTACCAGACTTACTACAGACCGGGAATGGAACACCTAACCACGTGCATGTTTGACAAGCATTCTGCCACAATAACCACAGATGCAAACAAGAATTTCTCATAATTTTTATAACAAAACGTAATTCAGAATTCTGTGTTGCGTATGTACATAGAAAGAATGAACATTAGTTTTTCTTTTAAAATATTCCATATTTTAGATTTATTTGTTGGCTTGGGAAATCTGATACCTGATATTATCTGGAAGACAACAGTTGATTTTTATGGACCAACGTTTGTGTGTAAAATAACCAAGTATTTAATGGTAAGTTGTTCATTTATGTGCCTTATCTGATTATGGATAATAATTTGAGTGATTTTCCACTAAGAATATCTTTTCATTTGTGACTAATACTCACAGAATAGGACAGAGAATAAAAGAAAGGCGGAGAAGATCAACAGTTTCAGTTGGTTAAAGATACTGTTGACAAGAGTTCTTATTTTAAGAGGATGTAGAATCTAAATGTAGGATAATTTAACGACAGATTTTATGGGGATAAAATCTGGCTGTCAGCTCTGTGTGTGTGTCTGTGTAATGTTTACTGAGAGGAAATAATACGCATCTGTGCTGTACTGCCTCAAATAATCAATGCTGAGGTTATAATTTCTGATAAGAAAATGTGATTATTACAAATCTAGTTAAGCACTTTTTAGTGGATTTTTCTTTAAATGACTGACTTTTGTTAAGTCAAAAAATGTACTGCTAGTGACTTAACGGATAAATGAGATGAAACTGCATTAACTTATTCTGTTCAAAATAGCACGTGGTAATGCAGTGGTCTATGCAATATATTTACATTGATATCGCTGAAGTCAGGCCCTTAGAAAAAGTAGGTTTTTTTTCTCTGACTGTCGGATATCTGCTTACTATCCGATGTCTGATTTTAATTATGTAGGATTCTAGCTTTATTAAGTAATGGCATGAAATTTTTCTATGCATTTAGTTGTGGTGTTGGCTGTGTGAATAGTAATTTACTGGATAAAATATTGCTATACTGAACCATATAACCTTAGCGATACATTTGACTTCATCGACTCAGTGAAAGATATCAACGTGTTTGAAAGACAAATGCTCTCACTAGATGTCGCCTCTCTATTCACAAGCATCCCTCTGACCGAAACAATATGCTTCATTTGTAATTAAATCGAAACCAACAACCTAGAAGTTCCTCTACCCATAAACTACCTGAAGGAACTACTTCGCAGATGTACGTTTAATATCCGTTTAAAATTCAATGAACAATTCTATGTATAGAAAGATAATGTAGCTATGGGGTCTCCTCTTGGTCCACTCCTATCCGACTGCTTCATGGTGAGTCTCGAAAACACCATCCTCGATCCTTTGATAAGTCAACTGCACTTAAGTAGATGATACGTTCATAATTTGTGATGAAAAACGTGATTAAAGTTATCTCCTCAAAACCTGCAACGCAGCAAACCCATCAATAAAATTTACCTTAGAAGGCGAATCGAACAACGCATTTTCATTCCTCGATGTACTACCTACCAGAAGACACGAGTGTACGATCCAAAGATCGATATATCGCAAGCCAACATAGACCGGACAGTTTATCAACTTCCAGAGCTTTGTCCCACTGATCCGAAAGCGAAACATGATACGTACATAAAGCTCAAGGATTGGAAACATCTAATCGGAAGACATGATTGAGAAAGAATTAAATTTATTACGTGAAACCTTACTAGAGAATGGGTATCCACCAAGATATATACACAAAAACATGAATTGAAGCCTCCATCGCCAAACATCACAACTCTTCTTAAGAAAACTCTCTTCATGAACCTGGAATTCAAAGGTGACATCGCAACAGAAATTCTCAGAAACCATCTTTCTAAAGACATTCCCAACAGCAACTTTATTATTATTATTGTTCCCTTGGGTTCCTAGTGGAACATAGGGCTTCAACTGCACGTCTCCACTTGCTTCTGTCTTCTGCTGTTCTTTTCACTTGCGTCCATGTTATTCCATACTGTTTCATCTCCTCCTCACACGATCTCCTCCATGTCACCCTTGGACGTCCCACTCGCCGCTTCCCTTTCGGGTTCCCCTCGAGGGCTTGACGCGCGATGTCACTCAACGGCCTCCTCAGAGAGTGTCCAATCCATCTCCACTTCCTCCTGCATATTTGTTGGGCGATTGGTTCCTGTTTCGTTTGTTCCCATAGCTTCTTGTTTGTGATTCTTTCTGGCCATCTAATCTTCAGTATGGAGCGAAGACAGTTGTTGATAAAGGTCTGCAACCTGTTGAAAATATTCTTGGTGACCCGCCAAGTTTCTGATCCGTAAAGCAAAATTGACTTGACGTTTGTATTGAAAATCCGAATTTTGTTGTTGATGGTGAGTGACGAAGATTTCCAGATTGGTTTCAGGTTGATGAATGTGTTTCTCGCCTTCCCGATTCTCCATTTGACATCCTCGTCCGTTCCTCCTGTGGTTGAGACAATGCTCCCTAGATAAGTGAAAGAAGTAACCTCTTTCAAATCTCTCCCGTTGATGGTGATTGGCACTGGATGTTGCTGCTGCTGTTGTTGGTTGGTTATTTTCATAACCTCCGTCTTGTCTATGTTCACCTAGAGTCCTGTCTTTGCTGCTTCTTCGACCAGTTTGTCGGTTTTTGCTTGTAAGTCTTCGATTTTGTGTGACATCAAACATAAATCATCCACTCGCGAAATCCAGGTCCTCTAGGTTCTTCACGTATCGGTGCAGGATATCCCTGTCTTCTCGTTTCCCACTGTCTGACGCATAATCCAGTCCACCACAATTAGGAATATCATTGGTGATAATAAGCACCCTTGTCTGACTCCTGTGTTTACTCCAAACGCTTCGCTGAGTTTTCCGTTGTGGATCACTTGACATGTGCCGTTGTCGTACAGTTGTTGAATAAGGTTGATGAATATTTGTGGTACGCCGTAGTACTCGAGTAGTTTCCAAATTACTTCGCGGTCAACGCTGTCGAAGGCCTTCTCAAAGTCTATGAAGTTGAGGTAGAGATTTGATTGCCATTCCATGCTTTGTTCGATGATGATGCGTAGAGTTGCGATTTGGTCAGAACATGATTTGCCTTTCCTGAATCCAGCTTGTTCTGGTCGGAGTTCTGTATCCAGTGCGTCCTTTATTCTCTCCAGGATGATGCGACTCAGGATTTTACTTGGCGTCGACAGGAGCGTGATTCCTCGCCAGTTCTTGCAGAGTCCCAGGTCGCCCTTCTTTGGTAGTTTCACCAGGTAACCTTTCCTCCAGTCAGTAGGCACCTTTCCCTCTTTCCAGATCTTTTGCAATAATGGGGTCAGCATATCTGCCGTCGTTTCTGGGTCCGCTTTCAGTGCTTCCGGGGGTATTCCATCTGGTCCAGCTGCTTTTCCAGCTTTCAGAAGCTTGATTGCATTCATGATTTCAGTTTTCGTTGGAGGATTGGTGTCAACTTGCAGTTGTGTACGTGCTGTTGTTGGTATTACTGGACGGGTTGTAGGTGGTGGTCGGTTCAAGAGTCCTTTGAAGTGGTCCGCCCATTGTTTAATCTGTCTTTCTTCTTTGGTAATTGGGTTCCCTTGGCTGTCTTTTATAGGTTTCACTGGTGTTGATCTCTTCCCGGATAGAGACTTGGTTATCTGATATAGTGTCCTCAGGTCCCTTTTGCCTGCTGCCTTCTCAGCTTCAGTAGCCAGGTTGTCGTAGAATTGTCTCTTGTCCTTCCTGGCACTCTTCTTCACTTCTTTGTCCAGTGCTGTGTAAGTTGGGCTCAGCGTCTCTTTCTCTTGTCCATCTTTGCATTGAATCATTTTCTCTTTCACTTTTCTCCTCTCCTCTATTAGTTTCCAAGTGTCTGTTGAGAGCCATTCCTTGTCTTGTTTCTTCTTTCTTCCTAAAACCGTTGAGCACGTTTCGTTGAAAATTACCTTCAGAGAGTTCCAATGGTCTTCCACGGATGATTCCTCAGTGGTGCCACGTAGTGTTTCCTGCTTTGCTCTGACAGTTGCAGTGAAAATGTCCTGTGTGATTGTGTCCTTCAGTTTGTGAGTGTTGAACTTGCATTGTGGCCTATCCCCAGGTATCCTCGAGGCTTTCAGCTTCACCTTGAAAGTCCCTTGTACTAGACAGTGGTCTGAACCCACATCTGCTCCTCTCCTCGATCTTGTGTCCAGTAGGCTCCGTCTCCACTTCCTTGAGATTGAAATGAAGTCTATCTGGTTTTTGGTGTGTCCATCTGGTGAAATCCGTGTTGCCTCGTGTATATCCTTGTGTTTGAACACACTGCCACCAATCACCAAATCATTGAAGGCACAGAAGTCTGAGAAGAGTTCGCCATTTTCGTTCATTTCACCGAGGGCCTCGCGGCCCATGGTGTGTTCTCTTCCTATATTGTCTCCTCCCAGTTTCGCATTCATGTCGCCCATCAGGATTTAGATATCGCTCTTTAGGACGTTGTCCATTACTGTTTGTAGTTGACTGTAGAAATCCTCCTTCTTCTCATGTTCTGAGGCGTTTGTAGGCGCGTAGCACTGAATGATTGTAACCTTCTTTCCTTTTGAGTTGAACCTGGCTGTCATTATCCTGGAGGAGATTGGTTCCCACTGCATGAGAGCTTTAGCCGCTGTTGGTGACATCATGATGGCTACTCCCTCGGTGTGCTCGTGATTGTCCTCTGGGTGACCGGAGTAGATTATTGTCTCTCCAGTTGATAGTTGGCTCCTTCCACATCCGTTCCATCTGCTCTCGCAGATTCCCAACACTTCTATTCTATATCTCCTCATTTCTGCGGCTACCTGAGCAGCCTTCCCAGCTTCGTACATTGTACGAACATTCCACGTCCCCATCCTTATTTTCGCTTTCATCGAAAGAAGGCACATCGGCTGACTGGCTTCCCGAAGGCTTTCACCAGCCCGCGTCATTTCACTTCTCCGATTCCAGCGAAAAATAAGGTCACTATTTGTAATTTTAGAATTTTGAATATATTTGTGCGTTGAAGTTTTAGTAGCAATTTGGTTAAGTTTTGGGGGTGGAGTTGCTAGCACCACGCCCCAACCCTCCCTCTTTATCCGGGCTTGGGACCGGCTAGAATACTAGTGACCTAGTAATCTAGGCGAGGTTCAACAGCAACTTTACGTATCACATTTTCCAGTAGATAGTTAATCCAGTCCAACGTTAAGAATAAGATACCGCTTTTGGCCACTTTAATGTGTATTTATCAATTTACTAGCTAGTGTGGAGCAAAGTTTATCGGCCGTACGCAACGTCAAGTCTACAAAC